TCTGCCGAAACTCTAATAAACAATTAATGTGTAACCTGTCAAAACTCTGTCGATTGATTTCTGGAGGAGTTTCTCCCGCAACCTTAATTCACATACAAGGAAATGATTGAATAGCTAAGTCATGTTTGTTTTATTAAAGATGCATAATTAATTATATTTAAAACATACAATAAAAAAAATTGCATTGAATCCAAGACTGCATCACTATGTCAATCAAGCTATCAAGCTGTTATGTTTGTGAATGATTTAAAATTCTTTTGTGCTAATTTAGGGTCCCATCTTTCTTTGCTTATATATAATCTATTGGTTCTCCTTTTACTGGTTAAATGATGCCAAATTGGGTATTGGGGTATTCAGCAAATATCAGAATCTGATTATTCTTTAAAAATAATCAAAGTATTAGCATACTGATAAGTTAATAATATTCTTGGTATTTTTATCATATAGTCTAAAAGCCTATTAGTAAATGTTGAAAGTGTCAATATTTATCAGGTATTCTTCTAAAATTAATCCTATTTTTTAGTTAATTATTGGCTTAATTTAATAAACCAATAACTCTTTTTTATATTGTAATTAAGTTATTGGTTAAATATTTCTAAAGCTCTTTGTACTAAAATAATATCATAATCTTGAGCAGCAGTTAGGTTTCTATTCAAATAAAGTTTACTCGAATAAAACAAACAATTTGAGTAAAACTAATAAAACCAATAAAACCAATAAAACCAATAAAACTAATAAAACTAATAAAACTAATAAAACTAATAAAACGAATTAAATGAATTAATAGTTGGACGAATAAAACGAATAAAACGAATAAAATGATAATAGTAATAATACTACTAGTAGTGATGGTAGTAGTGATTCGCAAAAAGTACACAAATCACATCCAGTTAAGTAGAATATTAGATGAAGAGATTGCTAAATCAAAAAGCATAAAAATCTATACAAGTAATGATAGTTCATCAAATAGTCTTGATTTTAACCCACTTCTCTTAAACACCGAAGGTGAATAAAAATTTCATTATTAATTAATTTGAAATTATTATCCATTGGTTATTACTAACAATACTTTTTAATTGTATTAGATTCTAATAATTAAAATAAGAATCAATGAATGACTAATAATAATGCTTGTATGTTTGTCAAAGGGAAATTGACACCGATGATCAGAGGTTGGAGTATGATTTTCCGCGGCGATAAAAATGATTTCATCTCTGGTAATTTTATCTATAAAAAGGAATTGCATGATGTAATCAAATATAAAAAATCACAAAATTGATTATTACACGTACTTTTATGATTATTAATTTAAAATGATGTAATCAGGTGAGAAATATATATATTAATATATTTACATATTTTTGATTGGTCTTTCTTGATTCATCATATTTTTATAAAAATTGTCTTGGATTTTTTGGAGCGAAAACAATCTTTTCATCTGACCATTTAAATAAAAATTGAACAAAACATAATAGAATCGACTTCTTATTGTTATTATTAAAATTATTATTGATAAAACGTTGAGAATTTAACATTGTCACGTATATATAATTAAGAATTTTTTGACTTGTAAAACCACAATATTTTCTTGCGCTCAACAAATCTAAACTTGTATCTATCAAGGGCCTGGTTATCGATTTATATACATTGACTGATAAGAATCGGCTAAATACGAAACTGCCGAGGATATAACGAATGAGTTTTATGAGTGGGGGCATGTTATTGTTAATATATATATATATATATATATATATATATCATTTTGTTTTATTTCAAATAAAATTTTAATCCATTGACTAATTTTAAGTCATGTATATTTATTAACAGACTCGTATATTTAGTTAACGTCAAATTGAAAAAAACCAAAATTAATAAACCAAAATTTATTCGTATGGAAATTGTAGATGAATCTTAAAATTCATGATAACCACAATCTGACGAGTTGGTTTGGATGTCGTTGGGCACGACAACTGGACTCGTGGATAGACTCCTAAACGTTTGTGTGGCACCAACGACAAAAGCCTTCGATAATAAAACCATAAAAGGATTGATGAAATGAATATGGCTCTGTAGATGAGTTGCGCGGTACAAAAAGATATTAATGATGATGGCAGCCACATCAAGTGTCTGTCTGGTAATCAACTTTTTTGATCATTTGTACCTATTGGCTGATAATAAAATTGAAATAGATCAAGAAATGTCATCTTCTGTTGCTAAAAGGAAAACGGATGATATTATGAAAATAATAGATCTAAGGTAGGTCAATAGTAGAAAAACAAGGTTGAGAGATTAGAGAGTATGTGAAATTCGTGTGGAGAAAGAGAGAAAAAATAATAATAAATATATATAAATATATTAAATTCTTTTTAGAATATTTAGTGTGATTATTAATATTAATGTGTGTCAATCAAAGAGTGCACAAAAATTATTAATAATAACGTCCTATCATTACCCAAAATACCATATATATATATTTTTTCTCCAAACTTTTTTGACAATGTCTATTGTCGTTGCAACGACACTTATAAACAGGATATTAAAGCAAGGTATTTTTTTTTTACTTTCGAAAATAAAATTATTAGAAATCATTTTTAAATATAAAAGTTATTATTAATAATAATATATAACAACAACAATAATAAAGGTAATGGACGACAATCGAATATTGAAAAATGTTGTTTTCTCAGTTAGAGATCCAGCTCCTGAACATATAATAAAAGCCATAGCTCATAAAGTATTATCAAAAAGGCGAACAAGTAACAATAATCATAACAATCATAATAATAACAACATTAATAATAATAATAATGCTGGAGGTCATGATCATAATCATCATCATAGATTAATAAATGGGCATTCAAATAATAATAATGTTAATGACAATAATGATAATAAAAATAAAAGAGGACATTTATCATCAGAAGAAGAAGAAGGTGAATATGTTAGTAGTAATAATAATGAACATGATGATGATAAAGGATCTTTGTTGAATGATGATAACAGTGGGGATAATGATATTTTAAATGAAGTTATAATGGATGATGAAGATGGTTCTTTATCGACTTCTAATAATGATAATATTTCTAATGAAGAAGAAGATTTAATTGAAGTATTATCATCATCTTTTAATAAAAATAATAAAAATATGAGTAATAATAATAACAATAATAGTAGTAGTGTTAATAATGCTAATAGTAATAATAATTTTAGTAATAGTATGACTGATAGTAGCAAGGATATTGATAATGAGATGGAAGACCCTAGAAATCAAGAAAATAAAAAATCAGATGAAAATGTTGACAAGTTTAATAAACCAGTTACTACAACAATTAAAGATCACAATGGAAAAGATTCAATAATAATACTGAACGAAGAAAACAATAATAATGATGATGATGATGAAGGGTTTATTATTGCAAAGATTAAAGAATTGACAACTTTAAAGAAAAGTTTGTTTCAAAAATTACGTGAGACAGTTTCTGAAGAATCTACACAAGAAACTATTGCTACTACTACCACCAATAATAATAATAATAATAATAATAATAATAATAATAATAGTAATAACAATAATAATAATATAATGTAAGGATTTATTTTTTATGGATTTTTGAAACAATTTCCGAAAAAATCGCATAACTTTTTTTTGATTTAATAATATAGGAAAATGTCTACATTAAAAAACAACAATATCTACAATAATAATGATGAATTAAAAAAAGGTAAATGTTTAATTATTCAAGAATAAAAAACAATTAATCTCAAAAATATTAAATCTTTTTTTCAAAATTTCAAATTCAGATGGGGAAATAATACCTTTTCAAAGTCAAATATATATTGGTAATAGACGTTATAAAGAACAATCTTCACCGCCTTTTAATAAAAGAGTTCGTGGTTTATCCACATCGAATGGAATGTATTATGATTCAGTATATCATAACAATAATAATAATAACAGTAATAACAATAATAATTACTTTAGTAATAATAACAATAATAATAGCTTTAATAATAGTAGCAATAATAATTATTATTATGGTCAATCTTTACAATCATCACCACATATTTCTTCTTCCTCATCTTCAACAAGTTCAAACTCAAATTCAAATTCTGGAAATATGATGATAGTAAATATATATATATTAAAATATGTATAATATAATTATTGAAATATAAGTCTTATTTGATTTGATTTTTTAGGGAAGAACAAGAGATGATCAATATTCTTATTATCATAGAAATGACTACCATCCTGTTCCTCCCCCTTATATAGATCATCATATTCCATATGGAAGAGGATTATTAAATAATAATAATAATATGTCGAGGGTATTTTATCCAGAAAAATATTATGATTAATTATTATTTATTCGTTGATTGATTGATATTAACTTTTATTTTTTCAATTCGGTAAACTTAAAGCGATCTTCTAATGCACCACCACCTTTACAATCCGGAAGATCAACAATCCCACGTCCATCAGATAGATTACGTAATAGATATTAAAAAAAATAGATAAATATTATTATTTAGCTATTATTGTTTATACTTATTTAGTTAATATTATTATAAATTATTTTTTTTTTATTTTCAAATTTTTTTTTAAATCATTGTATATATTTTTGCAATCAAATTTTTTTCTTCAAATCCTTCCTTTCCCCTGTTTTTTTTTTTTTTTTTTTTTAAAAATTCATTAATTAATTAATCACACAAATCATAGATTTATTAATAGTTATTATATTATTATTATTTTTTTAATATATATATATATATATATATATATATATATCACTACATACACATATTTTATTTTTAATTAAAATTTACCAGTTTATTTGCTTCAATTAATTTAGGCTGAATCTTTCTCCTGCTGATTATTCTCATCAACAATAATACAACTTTCCGATAGTGCTTTCTCACTTTCAATAAAATTCTCATAACTTTTTTCAAAATCTTTTAACCAAATCTGATTTATTATGACAAAACCGTATTTTTCTCCATAAACAAATACACCTTTGCGTGTCATTGAATCGATCGTCCCTTTGATAGATTTCATGTTTATTGTTGGATGATAACGATAATCGGTAGAGGTAGAGGGAGAGGAGGAAGAAGAAGCAGCGGCAGCGGCAGCAGCAGCAGCCGCTGCTAATTGTTTTTTACTATTGTTCATATATACACGAGCTAGTGAATCTTTATGTATGTCTTTTAATAAAACGAATTTCCATACTTTCTTTAACAAATCAGATTCTTCTTGTGTTAATCCTTTTCCATTACAATATTCGAAAAAATAACTACTTGAAAACAAATCTGAAATGGAAGTTCCTGGGAGTTTATATTTTATATTTCGATTCACAGTTACTTTATTTTTCTTGGTTTTTTTTTCGTTCCTCTTTTTGTTACCACTATTATTGTTATTATTTGAATAATCTTCGTCATAGAAATTTGATTCTTCAGAATCATCAGTTTCGCTATCCCTATCGTCTTCATCGCCATTTTCATCTACTTTGATAATCAACTTATTTTCAATAAATCTGTCAAATGCATCAAGGGCTGCAAGATATCGATCATCTGTTTTTGGTTTGGTTTTGGCCCACCTGTCATATCTCTTTTCGAGTATTTGTATTATAACATGTTTTCTATATTCCTATAAATAAAAATTATCGTAAATCCATTTAAACAAATTTTATTTTTCACGTTATAAACAACTTAGCATAATAGCAATGCAAATAAATAAAAATATTCATTACATCGCCTCTAATCAATTCCTTGTTCAAAAGTTCATAACATTCAACATCCTCTTCTTCCGTTGATTTAGGATTGAACTTTTCGTAATTTAAATATTCCTCGTTCAAATTATCTTTTAACAAATTCTCATAAATCTGAAATCCAGCAAAGGCATCCGCCGAAGCGTATATGATCAACTCTGAAGTCAAATACTGATGATCAAAATTATAATTAAAAAGTTTTTTTTTTGATTTTTCTAGCACAAGGCCAGGATCAGCAAACATCCTTGTCAATTCTGACAACGAATTCGCTGAATATCCTTTCCTGTGAGCCATTTTCTCCAAATCTACCAAACCGTTGCACTCGAAATCATACGAATCTCTCAACCAATTACTATCGCCTGTAGCATTAACACCGACCTTTAATATTCTCCCATCACAAAGAAAATTCTTTAATTGTCTTGGAAAGTAGTCGGAATGACCTCCTGTGATTCTATATACTTGAAATAGAAAACAGAAATCGCGCGTTGCCAATTGTATCATTGAAACTAGCCGACGATCTTTTTGTCTGAACACTGTTGTCTCTGTGTCAAAACCTACATAACCAGGATTCCAATAACGATATCTTTTTAATATGTAAAAACATTTTTCAGCTAAAGTAAATAAATTAATTAGTTAATGATTGATGAATAAATGGATGAATTAAATAGGTATAACTGATGGAAATTGTGCGCATTTATTATAATAATTATTGCCATCTTTTGCTAAAACATAAACATAAAGATAAATATATTTACCATGCCTCATTTCTCCCAATTGATAAACAGGCGGATTTTCAGAAACTTTTGGTATTCCAGATTCGTCTAAACTTTTAATGATACTCCTCGGGTTTAAAGTACCTCTATTGTAATAAGTCATCTTTATTATTATTTATTATAAAAAACAATATATTATATAATTATAATTATTACAATTATTAAAAATAGTGTATTTGTTTTATATCATGTATATTTTTTACATTGAAAGGAAAAATAATATTTTAAGAAATATACAAATATAATTAAATCATTCAATATTTAGTACAACAACAATAATAATTATTATAAAAGAAACTTGGAAAGCAAAAAGTTGCAAGAATAAAGAGTAAAAAAAACTTGCACAATTATATTTCCCATTTAATGCATCTGACCAATCAACATCAAGGAAAATCATTGCTTAATAATGAAATGAATGGGTTTAAAAGGAATTTTGTAAAACGTTATCATTTTTAAATGGAATGAATGAATATTGATTCATTCTACTTGTTAAAGTCACAATGAAATGAATATTTCTAGAGAAGAATTTATACTGTGTCACAATTTTTTGCAGGATGCAGAGGATGCAGAGGACTGCTAAGCCTTCCTACAATCAATCTTTCATATGTTCTAATGTTAACATGTTACACTTTGAACAAATTTTGGAGTTCTAAATTCGGGTGGATATCTTCAAAGCTACATGACGACCAAGATGTTCCAAGCGGCAAAGTTCCTTAAAAAAAATTCTACACACGCCTGCTCGTTTCCCCTTCATGCAAACATTAAACATTACATTACCAAATGCAACGATTTTTTGGCTGGCGGCAATTGCAGTAATTGTAATGATTGTATTGGAGATAATGACAATGATGGTGATTGTATTGGCTGCAGGAATTGCATTGGAGATAAGAACTGCATTATTGGTTGTGATAGTGATTTGGTGGTGGCGATGTAGTATATTTTCACTTTTGATGAACTGTCCAACCCATTTTGCAATCGCTCTTTGCCTTCTATGATAAATTTTAAATCGTAACTTCATCATAAAAATTGGTCAGAGTAATATGGTTTTGAGAGAATGTGAGGGACATAATTGTCAAGCAATACGGAGGTCTTTGGTGATGGTGCATTATTTTCAATAATTAACGCCTGGCCTTCTTCTTTCTTCCAATTTAATCTTTGTGTTGTTGCTGCTTGATTATATTCTGTCTGCCAAGCGGTAAAGTTCTTTTGTTGGAATTCTCCTGGTTTCATATGCTACGTTATTATCATTCATTAATGCCGGGGGTCTACTCCCAACAATCAATCTTTATTAAAATCAATATTTATATCACTACAAATTTCTAGCAAATAAAAAATTAATCTGATCCCCCTCTATCCAAATCCTTTAACAAATGATTTAATGTCTAGCTGTTGATTTCAATATTCCCAAGTGAAGTGTACAGCTGTTATTTTTATGTGTTTTTCAACAAACTTCATTATATAATTTTTTGGTGGTGCTGATAAAGTAAAATATCCAATCTCTTGCTCAAAATTATTACAAACTAGAGATGTATGGTTATTCTTTTTGGAAAATTGTGGCAGTTTCAATATTCTTTTTATGAATGAACACAAAATAATTAGATTAAAGAAATCGGATATAATTTCGGCATTACAATCGGTAAACCTATGAAATATAAATTTATAAAACGGGAAATTATTCAAATGAGACAAAAAAAGGCAAAAAAGCGTCGCACCACCACTTGTAATAATAATTTAAAACGTGGCATTATAGTGAGTGTAACGTCTATAAATTAGATCGTGGTGTAACAACAGATGTCTATTTAATTTCCGCATGTTCATTAGTACATAAAATTAAAATTCTTTTTCTTTAATTTTTTCAAATACACACACAACTAAAAAACTTTACATTAATCTTTTATATTGATAATATGAATTTTTGGTCAGGGTAAGTTATTACATTATTTATTAAACGATTAAAATGTCAATCAACATTTCAAAAATGTCAGTTTTTGATAGTTTTAACCAATAACCAATCTAATCAAACATTATATATACTAGCAAAAGTAAAAAGAATACTATTCGTTCTAGAACAACCCCGGTCTCACGTCCTTTATTTCTTTCACAACCTTTTATCGATGCAACATTAGTAGAAGGAAGTTTTAAAAAAATCGTTGTTTTACCAAAACATGTAAACGAAGATGAATGGTTTGCTGTAAATGGTTTGCATATAAAAGCTTGATTTGTATTATTATTATTTTAAGAAATATTCTCATGTTATTTTAAATACTCCAAAAATCATAGTGGTTGAATTCTTTACATATCTTAATATGTTTTATGGAACCGTTACTGATTTTTGTACAGCAGTCCGTTGTCCAACTATGAGCGCTGGTCCAGGGTGAATGTTTTATAATTTTTCTGTTAATATTGAAACGAATGAAAGGATTCGTAATAAGAAAATTAAACTTATTGAAATGCATATCATCAATGTTATTCATTATTAGATTTGAACCTTATACTTGGACAGATCAAAATCAAAAAAAGAGTACAAAGTTATCTGCTCCAACTTACATTGATTACGTTATGACTTGGATTGAAAATCTTATCAATGATGAAAATATTTTTCCTACAAAAGTTGGTAAGTCAATACACAAATATTACTTTTAATAAAGATTTCTTCATACATATAATATAACATCATTCTAACATATAATTCTTCACACTAATGACAATGACAATAATTTTTAAAAAAGGTCGAGAATTCCCAAGAGATTTTCATCAAATAGCTAGAACAATATTTAAACAATGTTTTAGAGTATTCGCGCATATATATTATAATCATTATGAACAAATCTTACATCTCCGGGAAGAAAAACATTTCAATTCATTATTTGCACATTTCACGTCTTTCGCCAAAGAATTTAATTTATTGCAAGATAAGAAAGAATTGGCACCGTTAGAAGGTTTAATTGTCTATATGGAAAATAATGGTCGTATTAGTTAAAGGTTAGTTAATTTAGAGAGAATTAGTTAGTTTGGTTAGTTTGGTTAGCTAACTAGAGGTGAATACGATATTTTTTTATTTTTCTTTGATTAATAACAAATTTTTTCGTTAATAAAAAACAACAATAAAGAACAATAGTATTTTTCTATTCATCAGGTGGTAAATTCATTATATTAACCAATGTAATGGAAATCTAATAAAATATTTGTAAAAAAACTAATATTAGTATTAATATTAATAATATTAACACATTAATAATTTACTAGTATAAATAGTTCAAAATTTATTTTATCCATTTTATCAAACATTTTTTTAGAATATCGATTTTTATTATCCGAACTGTTCAATCCAATATATAATGCACTGTTCCAATAATCAATGATTTCTTTGACTTTATTAGCAGGTGAACATTTGTTGGGATCAGCATCCATACATTGGTATGCTAATATAGAATTTTGAAATATCATTAGAAAATCCTGGTCTTACACCTCCACAACTTCTTAATACAAGATATAGATCATGCCCTACATTGCTGAAAGGTTGTTGACCTATAGATATGACTGACATCAATACTATAGTATATGATTTTTTATTCAAAACTTCAGGAGCAAACATATAGCAATCTCCAAATATCTCTCTCTTTTGAAGATGAATAATTTTTTGTTTGAGGATTTCTTCCCATGATAAATATTTATATCATAAATATAAATTACATTTAAAACATTATTGTTATGAAATTTAACATACTTTTGGAACTAAAAAATATTATTGCAAATAATGATTAATATATCTAAACATCTTACTTTCTGGTATGCTGTTGCTAATCTAGCAAGTCCTTGAACACTAATTAATTGATGAATACGAAATTGTGATCTAGATATATAAATGAATACATCAAACAAACTTGTCACAGACAAGAATTGAATAAAATTTTGTACTAATGTGTGGATTTGGATCTTCAATATGACATTGTAGAACTCTAATAAACTAAAATACAATTTTATTACAAGTATGAGCTAAACTGGAAGTACTTGTATCCAAAAGCTCTATTGTCTGAAATAAATTATGCAAAAACTTTGTGGTTGGATTTCTTCCAAGTTGGAGCTAATTGTTTTACCAATTGTCAAGTTCTGCAGTAGACGGAACATACTGTAATAGATCATGCATAGTATATTTAGGATATGTTGTACTGGAATTTTGAAATTTTATTAAGTAAATAATAAATATTGATTTTGGGGAACAATCATATCAGATGTTATATCCTTAAATGGCTAGCTAAAGCCCAATCAACTTAATAAATAGTGCAGGTTTATTAAATTTTAATTGTGAATAATAGTGATTTTATCCTATAACTACTTGCAACAGCACAACTGATTCTACTTCTCTAGAGTTATGCTGTTTCATTCTGAACTGGATTTAGCTGAAACTCTTTTTTTCACCCAAAAAAATTTCACATTGCTCCGTTTATTTGGCACAGTCCTTTGTACCAAAAATAAATTTTAATAATAATAATTAGACTTTGGTATTTTTGAATTTTTTAATTACTTGAAAAACTTCTAATCCATCAAATATATTATAGTTTACTATATTGATGTTATTATAAGACCTTGGATAAATAGTAATAATACCACTTGAACCAAAAGTAACATGACCATAACCAAAGATTGGTAAATCAAAAGTACACAAAATTGCATAAAAACCTCTATTCCAATTAATTATAACCACCAATTAATTGATCTGAATTTTGTATTTTTGCAATTGTTGATATGATTACACTTTTGATGAAATACTGTTGGATTTAAATCAGCTGTCTCTATTACTATGATATAAAAGTTTGAATTTGTATTTGGTATCCCTTGATGAATTTGGTGAATTTTTTCAATCAACCCAATTTGCAAAAGCAATGTAAGATCTTGATTAATTGTTGCTGTTGATTCAAGTTTTTCAAGTTTGTAGTTATTGATTTACTTTTTGGTTTCTTGATGGTAATAAATTTAAAGTTTGTTGTTCATCAGAAGCTACATAATAGTCTAAAAGAATTTCCCATAAATCCTTGGGAAAAAGCTCTTAAAAGGCATAATTTGGAATGAAAATCCTTATTAGAAATATCTTTAAATCCTTTAATGTGTTCCCCAAATCAGTAAGTTTTTGCTTTGGTCATAATTGATATCATTAATTTCTGGATGCTTGGCTAATCATCATTTAACCAAATGATCATTTCATCAACATTAAGACAAATATAGCCAATAAAATTCACTTGACTGAAATAAATTTTCATTATAATAAGAAATTTTCTAGGCAAATATTTTTTCAATTCCCTAAATTTTCATGAGAATGAGCAGTGTCTGAAATTGAGTGCGGGGGTTTGTGTTACATATTGAATTTAGCCAATCAAATTTGTCCTTCTGGTAGAAAATTTAACGTTGATTGGCTAAATTCAATATGTAACACAAACCCCCGCACTCAATTTCAGACACTGAGAATGAGTAGATCGATCTTTGGATTTTTTTAACTGGGCCTTTTTAATGTAGCTCTTATGTTTTTTGATAAAGTACTTCGTTGTGTATTCATAAAATGACTTGGGTCCAGTACTATATCATTGTATTTATACCAGTTTTTCAATTGAGCAGGATTCATCCAAAGAATTCAATTTAGTCTTCTGGTGTCATTATCAACATAGAACTCAACGAACCATTCTGGATTAATTTATTTCTTACTGGCCAGCATCTTGTATAATTCTGCTGCATCATCTTTTGATACCTTTTTTACAGATTATTTAATTTTATATCATTTATTTTTATTTTTGGATATTTTTTTTGTAGTATACCTCTTATTTGAGGCAAATTGAGTTTTTGGCTGACATAAAGTTCAATTTCATCCCAGATTTCTTTATCCACTAATTTGTATAATGTTCAATTTCATTTTGAGTAATTTGGTGATTATGTATATTTTCAATTTTAGTTATATGAATTCCTTGAGTTTTTGAATTCCTGATATTCACTTTCCATGGACAACCTTTTCTTTTTGATTGTTTATCATGCTGATTTAAAGGATCAAGATTTTTTCTATTACTTCTTGGTTTTCCCAAATGATTGCACCTGAGGTAAACACCATATGATCTAGAGGATTTGATGATTACGCTGAATCTTGTTCATTTGCATAGTTTTTAACATATGCTATTGCACTATCCAATGAATCCCAATGTTTTGGCAAAGATAATCCTATTATATCAATTCCTTCAGAATTATCTTGTTTTGTTTCAAACCAGCCACTACCCATTGATGTATCAATTAAATGTTCATCTTTATAATCATCAATTTCCATTGAATAATCATCAATTTCTATGATTTCACGTTCATCAATTCTATGTTTTGACATTCTATTTTTTCATCTGTTAAATACGATTGCAATGATGGAAATTTATTTTCAATTAAATCACCAATATTTGATGGAAAATCAAATCCTTCTAAATTACAATTTAGAATTATCTAAGTCTAAAATAAGTAGATATTTTCCTATCCCATGATTTATTACTTATTCCAATTTCTTTTTCAATATAATTTAAGATTGTTATTCCACAACCTAAAGTTCCAGATTGATGAGGAGTTTCACTAATGTAATAAATTTCATCTTCAAAAGAGACCCCATAAAATTCAAATAATTTGTTAATATTGGTTATTAAATTAATTGGAGCTTCATAAAATAAAGAATCACCAAAATAAATTTTCTTTGTATTCAAATCTAATTTTATAACTCCCCAGTGATTATAGTTTATGTGTATAACTATATAAATACTTTGAATGTTTTCTGATAAATGGCCTAATAAATTATATGCAGTATCAAACTTTTCATCATTTATATGAGTGCATAAATATATTGGAGCCAAAATAAAATTATTATTTTCATTGTCATCATCTTTGAATGCTTTAAATATTTTAAGTACTGATTCAATCACCATGTAATTTATGTAATTCTGATTTTCCAAGGTTCATAAATCTAAAATAGTTACATTTAAATTGTCTCTTAAATTAATATATAATTATTAGCATTTAATAATTTTTCTTTCAATCTATTTGACCTCTTCACATTACTATCAATCCAGTTGATTAAATTTATGAAATTAGATTGAAACAACATTGCCATATGCAAGTTTGATATTTTGTTCAAATCACAAAATTTTGTTATTCCAAAAGAATGTACTTTAATAAATACTTGATTTCTTCTTTTTTCTCTTTGTTTTTCTCTTTTTCAATATCATCATTTATTTGATCAATCATTTTTCTAATGCATTCCAAAGGTGGAATTACCAAGTCATTTTTAATTGCTTCCTTTACTGTCAATTCTTTTCCAGAGTTGTTTGTAAAAATTTTAAACCTTGTGGACGGAACAAGTCTTATTTTTGGGAAATTTATTTTAATAAATTCCTTTGCAAAAATAGAATTAATTAAATTGTAACAATTTTCGTAATAAGTTTCAAATCTAAATATTAGTAAATGTAGTAATAGCAAATAATTAACATTAAATATTATTTACTTACATATAATTTTTTTAATAGAGAATTGATTCCGATTGATATTTTTGATAGAAGATAATGAAAAAAAGATAATTTAATAGAGAATTGATATTTTGAAGAAAAGAAGAAAAAACTGATTCTTTAATAGAATTGATTCCAATTGAATTATTGACAGAAAAGGGGATTTTTTAATAGAATTGATTCTAATTAGATATTTTTGTTAGAAGAGAAGAGAAGAGAGGATTTATTGTAAAAAAAAAACAACTTTTCAATTTAATTGAATATATTTTTTTTTTTTTTAAACAAAAAAATTTATTTTTGAAGACCAAATTTCTTCTTATTTATAATAATTGGTGCTATACAACTAAACCCGATTTTTCTTTAACAAGATAATTTCAATAACTTCTATCAGAAAAGAGATTCAGTTCAACTTCAATTGGTTTCCTTTAACAAGACAATTTCAACGATTTTTATTATTACCATTCAACTAAATCAGTTTTACAATTGCTTAATATATCGAAAATTAATCTTTAATTCGTGATCTTTTAAGAAGGAAAGGACTTTCGATAGAGATCAGCGGGTGCATTATAATAAAAATTTGAAGAACTCACATGGTTTTTATTGCTATTGTATGTGAAATTGAAATTATGTGAAGTTGAAATATTATGGAGTGGGGTGAAATTCTGATTGGCTAATTTGAATTTCACACATGTAAATTTGAATTTCACATATGTGAATTTCGAATTCATATAATTTCATTTTCACGTATAACATCGCTTATTACATGTATATTTTAATAAATAAAGCGATAAAAATGAATAATAGATCCGCATAGAACATTTCCTTAGAATATAAAGGCTTCTTTCTTATAATTATTGATACATTATTTAGAAATGTGTGGAGATTATATTAAAAAAAAAAAGGTGATTAGATGAATGATTATTTCGTATATGGATAGATTTATAATATACCAGTGGATACCCGTGCCGGTTGGTTGTCCATATCAATTTCTAAAATATATTTAAACTTATCAACATTTATTTTTTATTTAATTATATTTATTATTTTAAAAATTACTTTAAATGCAAAGCCATTATAATGATGCCACCTGGTATGGATATTATTTATTAGTACAATAAGTTTTCAATATCATGAATATAGATCTAATCATTACATATTATACCGATTACCTTTCTAAAGTACTTCCAGGTATACCACATTTGTTGTTGTATTAATATCGTTAAGAGGTAAAAGAACTTTAATATTATGCGGAGAGGTGCCACATGAAAGAGCAACATAAAGTTGTCCATGAGAGAACACTGGTGTTCGAAGATCTAAACTAACATGTTTTACTGATTGTCCTTGTGCCTTGTTAATTGTCATTGCAAAAGCAATATCAATAGGAAACTGTCTTCTTCTGAAAACAATGGAAGTTCAGAAGTTGAAGGTGTCAATGTAATTCGCGGTATAAATGTTAATTCTCCAGAATGATCACCACATAGTATTTGAGCTTCAATAACATTATCAGTCATATTGATGATTGCCAAGCGAGTACCATTACAAAGACCTTGTTTTGGAGTAAGATTTCTAAGAAGCACCAACCTTAAGATTAAGTTTTGCAAGTGGAATTCCACTGAAAGTAAGTGAATTGAGGAATTCATGAGATAAATATTGTTATTATCAACTCCTTCATTTACAACGTTGTCAGCACTATTATAGGTATGTTGATTTCCTGGAAACATATTCAGAATCTCTTGGTTAATATAATCTACATCTTCGTTTCGAGAAGAGAGAATAGTCCTTTCACAAAAATATTTATCATTACATGTTATAAATTCATGTGTTGTTTGATTCACAGCTCTTATTTGTTAATGAACAATTTTCATTTGATTTGAAGTAAAACTATTAGAATTGGGAAGTAAGACATAAGGTTTTGTTCTTCAAGATATTATCATCATTTTCTTGAACTTTATAAATTTGTAAATATTTATTGAAGTTAAATCAAATTTATATTAATAATTGAAATCAAATTTTATTAAAATTTTACATATACATTTAGCTATTTGACATGGCATATTAATATGTGTTTCTAATACATGTGTTTTTTTTCCTGGGTTCTTCTTTGCTGTTAAGAAAGTTTTCTTTTACTTGAATTATTATTCATCGAAATTAATTTTATTATATGTACAAATAAGAAATGGTGTAAAAAGGTACAAGTTGATAAAAGAAAATTCTATAATAAAGTATATCAATGTGTGCAATTCGCATTATAGTAATCAAGATACAATGTTCGATCAGTTATATATTAATTTACTTAATTATAAATTAATATTAATATTAATAATTTTTACAGAATTGTTATTCGCACCCCTCCCGTGACTAAGACAAAGATGAACCAATAAAATCATCACATTTTAAAGCCATTCATTGGTCACATTACTACACTTAGTCACGGGAGGGGTGCGAATAACAAAAATTGGGGGTGCGAATAACAATTCCCTAATTTTAATTAATTATAATTTTATTTGATCAGATGATGAATACAGTGTGACTAAAAATACCAGTTTTTGCAATTTGTTTTTTTTTTTCAGTCACCACGATGTCGAGTAAATTGCAAGTACAAGTAGTAATAAAAGATTTTTTCAAGAATAATAGAAACTGGTCACTACTTAAGTTTCTACAGTACAGGAGGGAACCGACCGTTTCACATATGATAAAGTAAAAGAACATAAATTGTACAAAACAGCTTTAGATTTTTTATCCAAAGATCATGAATAAGCTCAAAGAAGTCTTCTTAGTTTCGAAGTTAAGTATACTATTTAATACACACATCATGGGTTCAAGAGCTAGAGTACGTTCCGGTCACCGAGACAATTACGTGACGTATTGACAAACCTTGGGTAGCTGGCTGATTACGCATTGGCTGGTGAAAATGGAGTTATGTCTTCTCCTGAGCGTTCTTGAATAGACTATATATTATTGCCATAATGCAACCAGATGGATACGTCCCAACTGGTTGTCAGGCTACGTACCGTGTTATGGTCCACTTATATCAATGTTTAATTCTTTAATAGTATAGTGGTTTCTATCTAGCTTTGTTAATTGTTCTATTTTCTTTCCCATAAAAAGAACGAGAAGTCCTCCAAGATTGTAAATAACTTCTGGATGTTGATTAATAATGAATGCTATAGTAATGAAATTGAAAATATACAGGTTTGTTAAAATAAGATTTTTTCTATTTTAGCAAGAAACTGAGTTTGCCACATGAAATAGTTGGACTATGCCAAATGTATGTTGAGAGATGCCAACAATGAAAAACACCAAGTACGTACCATAGCAACTGATAATACGATAAAAACACTAAAAAACATGTTGCAAAATGTTGAAGACGAACCAGGAAAAAAGCAGAAATCTCAAGTTCCAACAGTTTGCGTAGCAGAGAATAGTCAGGTACAAAAAATTTTTTCAACATTACCGAATAATATTTTGTCAAAAGCTAATAAGAAACAATAGACATATTTTTATCATATGAGAAAGCATATTTTTCTGATTAAGTTTACATTCAACTAGGCTGAGTCTCTGTATAACTCAGAACAAGAGATTGCTAATTATGGGCTCTGTACACCCAAAAGACAAAATACATTGCATGCCAGGTATCGTTCACCAGAACAACAGGAAAAAGAGGAGGAAAAGGAAGATACGCACTATGAAACTTCTGCATTTAATCCTTTTTTTGAAAAGCCTTCTGTGAATGAAGACGATTTCAAGGAGAATAAGGTATAATTCTTTGATGAAATTTCCGATTTTAAATATAATATTCGCGAAAACTAATAAGGAGCAATAGATGGGTCCTTGGCATTTGAGCGATGCTTTTTTGTCAATTAAGAAGGAAAACATGTGGAAGTTGGAGACAAGTGGTAGAGTGGTAGAAGAGGAACTATATAATCTTGGCCGTGGTCTGGAATTTGAGCAGTAAGCTAGTGATTTCATCTGCTGACATTTATTAGGAAAATGTATTAATTGCAGATCTGTATTTCTAGTGGAGCCCACTCATTTATTGTGGGTGTGGATGATGAGTTAATAAAACAGCATTTTAGTGAAGCTGAACATCTAGAAATGGAGAATGAATGTGTTCCAGAAATACCACAGCTGTCACAAGACATTATAGATTATCTTATCAAATTTAACGATAAAGTGAGGTTATTTTATATATTAATTGGCAAACAATGCATATATTGAATTGATTCTTCTTGTCAGAAAACACTAAAGGAGATACGTAAAGCAATTAATGAACCAGATGAAAGGTTTGATATGAAATATGATCAAGATGCTTACCACAATCTAGATTACATTAGATTTGCATTATACGCACTGTAGGTTATCATATATTCAAATTTCTTTATGTAAATCGAAGTATTCTCAACTAAAAATTTGTTTCTCAGGGTTAGGGAAATTGAGAATGGAGGATTAAAAGGCCAGAATTTGGAGGCGTGGTACAACTGTCATGTGTGGAATGTCATCATTGATCAAGGTTTTGCAGATTTGAAGGAGACATCTGTTGTTCGGTATGTATTCATACTTTAACTATTTATTCATTATCTCTTTTAATTTGTTTTTGTGTGGCTGTCATCTATAAATAGGTGAAAGCACCAGCGCCACGAATGCTGAGTGGAAGAATGCGCATAGGACGGATACGAACACTCGGAGAAAGTATGGACACTGAGGCGATTGGATCTTAAGACGAATTGGAAATGGTGAACGTGATGAATATGGTATTGACGAAGCGGGAAAGTTGTGGTTTGACGATCATGGGACGAAATTCCTGAAGGAAACATGTATTAAATCACCAAAATTTTTAAAGGATATGTTGTTAAAGCTCATGAAAAAAGTAGGCAGGGATAAAGAATTGTGCAAGAAACTGCAAATGGTTGGAATCATCCATGCAGGCAAGCAATTTTCTATATTATGATTGTAGTGTAACTAGTGTGATAAATTTCAAGATGCTTACCATCAAATGAAATGCTGCAGGGACAATGATGATGACAATTCTTCTCAACAATCCTAAAGGTTACGTGTGTCGTATTCGGCACAGAGATTTGATGCAGGTACTATACATGAAGTCGAAACTATTTCGACCATTTGCAGATCTGGTCGAAATAGGGTTGAAATAAGGTCGAAACTGATTTTTACTATGTAGTTGCCTCAAGTCGAAGCATTTCGACTTTAGGGTTTTAATTTCGACTTCATGCATAGCAGGTACCAGATATTGAGGGAAATTTTTCGGATGCTTTGCAAATTCTGGCAGGGTACTAAACATCAAGGTATTATTATTTATTGGTTTTTGTTTAATATTGTATTTCTATGATGGCATATCATTTTTTTTATTCCTTTCAATTTTCAGGCTGTTGTTAGAGAAACCATCAAGATAGTTCAATCCAAACCTACACGATCAGATGTACAGATATCTGAAAATTTTGTACAAGCAGGCATAAAGAAACGATCTTGAAGTATACACGAAATTCCATCATGTATATCAACACCAAAAAAATCAAAGATCAAAGCTAAACAATTTAAATGCAATTCCAGATTTGATTTTTGATTGAATAAAATATGAAAGCTTTAATGTAGTGTGTGTAATAATTGTATTTGGAAACTTAGTGTCTTTTTTATTTCTGCATTTTTTTTTTAGTAAACATTACATATATTATATATTTCATGAAGGAAAAGTTAATTTAACATGTAGCATTAATATTAATTTTATGTAATTACCCCAATTATTCTGGCATGATTAACCTAACCTATATATTTTTGGTTGAATAAGTCTTGTGGAGTGAGTTTCGTCCTAAAGAATCTATATATTACTTAAGAATGAAATAAGATTCATTGACAAAAAGTATTATTGTTTGAGACGCTAAGTGCATCAAAGCAGGTTTTAGAATTTTTTTTAGTTATTTATTCACAGAAAAAATTTGAATTTATCTAACCATTTATTAAAAAATATTAAAGAAAACAATGGATTTTCACTTCCACAGTCAATAAATGAAAATATAAACGATACTCACAAAAAAATAATTATTGAAATCCGATTTCATTATATCTTTTCTAAAGCAAAATTGAGTTATCTTAGAAAATAAATTTTTATCTGATGAACATGTCAAACAAACCTGGTGGGATTATCTTCGATCACTTTGGAAAATCCTTAAAACTTTTGAAAAAAAATTATCAAAAAGATGCTAATGATAGAAGGCTTACAAGAAGAAGAGGTAGAGGATTGCATCTGTTCACTATTCTACCTCATTCAAAATTTCAGAAAAAATTCATCCTTATTGATTCAACTGCTCTTTATAATTTGCTTTCTATAACAAATTATTGTGGGTTAGGAAAGATAAGCCTAAATGATTTCAATGAAAATCTTGAACATTGTGGAGAATGGCATTTAATATAGATAAAGTAACAACAACACATAGGCGATTTGGTTTCAGTATAATGACAACTGTTAATGTAAATCTGAGAAAAGAGATATTAAAAGAAAATATAAAAATAAATTCATATGGATTCGATGAAAATGAAAACTTTTATCATTTGAATATTAGTGAAGGTGGTCATGTAGCTGGATTGGATCCAGGTCGGAAGTATTTATTTGTAGCTATTTATGGTAATGAGAAAAAAAATTACAAAAAATGCTCAACCAAAGGATGGTATTCATTAGCAGGATTTACTAGAATTAGAATAAGAAAGTAACTTAGATTAAAAACAATAGATATAATTTCAAACTTTCTAAGTAGTGAGTATTGTAAAGATTGAATTTCTTGAATTTTCTACAACGAAAGCTTATTTTAACATTAATAATTTCTTCATTTTTATAAAATTAGATATGCCAATGCCATCATGCTCATCATCGATTGATGATTATAAACATTACATTCTTCAATATAAACAGACTCTCCTTGAATTTTATGGTGAAAGAAAATGGTCTAGAATGAGGTGAAATACCTACATTAATAAACAAAAAGCATATGGCAAAATATGTAAACGAATCATCAATAATAATAAAAGAACCATAGTAGCATTTGGTAATAGTGGTTTTTCCAGCACTTCAAAGGGTCATGCTTCAAGGACCTGTGAAGCAATTGTTATGGGAATTAAGGAAGAAGTGTCAAGTAAGGTCTGTTGATGATTATAGAACAAGTAAAATATGTTCTTTATGTAATGAGATGTTCCATGTACATCAAAAATTCTGGTCAATATGACTATGTAAGAACATATGATTGTCTGGTAAATATTATTTCTTCTTCCTTGAAATTCAATATATAATGTTTCTTTAATACTTATTTTGTTATTTTAATAGAATCGTGATGTTAATGCAGCTCGTAATACAAGGAACATTTTCTTATTTATGAATGAAAATGGAGGAATGAAATCTAGAGATTTTAGAAGAACAAACAATTGATCTATTTTAATTTATATTTAATTTTTTTGTTATTAAAATATTGATCATTGCAGTATATAAAATTTCTCTCAAATGGGTAAATAGAATGGAATATTTTTTCATGCAATTTGTTCATTATCTTTCTCTAATAAAATTAGCAACAAATGCAACCTGAACTTTGTTGCTTACCTCTTCTGGTTTTCCTTTTCCATTTCCAATTTCTCTTGGTCACAAATATGGTTGCATCAAAAATTGAGACACTAGGATTTCCTATTTTCTTGAATTCCATGCAAATTTTTTTATCTATATAAATTAATTAATTGAATTAATCAATAAATATCTTTTTTGATCCTTTCCTTGAATCGAATGAGTGCATTTGTCTCTGTAAATTATATTATTATTCTACACATTTCCATTTCTATTCTTTCTACTTTTATTCTATACATTTCTATTTCCATTTTATTCTTTTATAATGTTAGTAATCTGTATTACATTACAGTTATATGAATATTAATATTTAACCATAGTTCTTTAGATAAATCAAAAATTTCAGTTCCTGTTCTTGTACAATGAATGTAAGGTATAAAAACCTTCAGGTTTTCACCTTTCAACAACATCGATACATCAATCAAGAAATCCAGAAATACATCAATCTATCATTCGATTTTTTGATCAAGATCAAATAGAACTTTGTTAATAATAATTACCTTGTAATTTAGCATAAAATCTGCTAATTACTCCCTCCCTCTAGCATAACTTATCCACTAATCACTGTGTGGTATACATGTATAATCAACTTGATAATTTATTCACTCATAATTAATTATTTTAACTCTGACCTTTGGGGATGCCCTTAGGAACATAGAACGGATCCAAAGAGTAATTTCCTTAAGAAATTAGGCAAGCTAACTAAATTTTTAGTCTAATAGTTTGTTGTATTAGACAAGGACCCTGAAATTCTTGGTAATACCAATGTTCACTTTGTCTGGTTTTGTTGCAGCATCTTACCAGTATCAGATATACATATGGGGTACTAGGAAAATCAACCTTCCAGACAATAAATCTATTTTTAGTAACAACCCTTATAAATTTGGTTACACATGTTTTTAATATGGGACATGCTGCAACAAAACCAGACAAAGTGAACATTGGTATTGCCCAAAAATTTCAGGGATCAAAGTTTAGTCATTATTATCACAATTACATTGTAATTATAATTTAACAGTCCAATTTGTTATCTTAAGTGATATATAGAATTACCTCTAGATAAAAATAGTTAATATGAAACTCATTTACATCAGGTCTACTATGGAACCTAAGAACTATAGCACCATTAGAAGTATACTAAAAAAAGAACAAGGTGAAAAAATTGCTCCTTACATTTTTAAATTAGCAGATACCAAATCTTTGCAAACATATTTAGACAAAGAAAGGATTACCTATGAAATTTACCATGAAGAAAGAAAAATAATAAGCAATAAACGAACCTTAACATCAGCTCATGATGAACCAAGAAAGAAAAGAAGACTGGCAGAATAAACAATCAAATCATTATTAATCATCATCATCATCATCATCATCCAATTCATCTTCTAAATCGGAAGGAGAATTTCATCATTGGAGAAGGGTTTTTCTTTTGCGAATTGCTCAAATAGTTCCTGCCAATAACAAGAGTAAACCAAGAAAGGATAACCAAGCCACTGGATTATTAGTTCTTCAAAAGCCTTCTTTGGAAGTAGGTTGGCTTTCAGTAGCTTTTTGTTTAGCATAACTATGGTTAATTCCTCCGAGTTTTTCGAAATAGTATTTTTTAGTTCCCGCTTCAGTTGGACTAGTTCCATCTCCATAAATGTTCCAATCTAAACTTTTAGTTTTATCTTCTGGATTTCGGTCAGCTCTCATTTCAGTTTCAATTTCTGCTTTCTTAGCATTGTCAGTTTTGATGTGATAATCAGCGGCTGCTCCAATTACATGTTGAGGAGGTAAAGTAAAGAATCAGTTTAATTTATCTTGTTCAGCAGTCGTGTCAGCAGGAAATTCAGAAATTCCTTTTTTACCTTTTAAATAATCTTTGAGATGAGTAAAGAAAGGCTCAAAATCATCCAAATCATTCACGATATTTCCAATCTTTTTTAGTTCTAATTCATCTTTTTTAAATAGTTTTTGGTCTCCAAAATTCTTTCATTGTTCTACTAAAGAAGTAGTAATATCTGCATCAATTTTGAAAACTGAACGAAGATTTTCACTTCTTAATTCTGGATTAGTTAAGTAATTGTTAATTGCCAATAATTCTACTTCTTCTTCTGGACTAAGACCAATGGTTTGCTTAGCATTATTTAACTCACTTTTTAGTAAATTAAAATAAGTTGTAATGCTTTTTCCGGTTAAGTTTCTTCCTTCTTTTTTTTCTCAATTACTTAGTCTTTCTTGAAAACTAGTACCTAAACCTTGTCAAGTGCTATAAGTAGGAAGTTTAGCATTTCGAATAGCCTCTAACTGTTCTACTTTAGTGAGATATCCTCTTTCAGTAGTTGTAAGGAGAGTTTCTAGTTTGCCTTCATTTTCTAAATCAGTTAAGAAGTAAATCAAAGTTCTAATCGCAATCATTTCTTGATAAGTGATAATATTTTCATCACTCAGATTAGTTAATTTATCTCCTAAATTTTTAAGTTGAGTTCGTGAGTGATTAATTTGATTAGTTTCAAAATCCTTAATTTGATTTTGGATTTGGATTAGTTTTTGTTTTTTATCAGCTTTTTGAAGACTAATTTTAGTTAATTCACTCCTTTTTTTTCCTAATTCCGCATGAAT